ATATGTATATATATATACATGTATATATATGATATATATATAGTTTCTGCATGTATATTTGTGTGTTTGTTTGTTTAATTGTATATGGTAAATATGTATTTGCCTGGTTTTGTTTACTTTTGGTTCCAAAAAGGAGCAAGTCAAGAATTCTTCATGGAGGACAAATGTGCAAAGTGAACCCACTAACTCTTCTTCAGAAGGAACTCCTGACAGACCACCAGCCGCTGACACAGCCAGGACCTCTCTGGAGAAAGAGCCTCAATGTTCAGGTCAGCAGACTTTGATTACAGCAGTTTTCACAGAAACTTTTTGCAAGCACCTTAGATGTATTACAATATTTTATATCTAAACATATGAAAATAGAGACGTTACCACATACAACTGATTATCATCCATCCATCCATCATCTTTACCCGCTTCTTCCTTTTTGGATTGCGGGAGTTACTGTGGTCCATCTTCCAGCCGTTATGTTCAAGAAAATATTCTTGCTTGCGTTGTTTATGCAAAAAGAACCACACTTGATGGCAGGAGAAGATTTTTAACTGGCATTTTACTTGCAAGGCCAGATTTTCAGGACAGGCTGTGTAAATATACATAAATCATACACACATGAAGCCCAGTCACAAGAATCTGCCTCAAGCTGCCTTGTACGCTTGCTTTTGTACCATTATCAGTTCAGCTGAGTTCACAGAGCTCAGGAGATGTCCTTGGCTGCAGTTGCATGCTGAAGCCTTCTCACCCAATGCTCTTCTTTACCCCAAACATGGTTCATGGGCATAAATAAGATAGTGTATTGGGAGATGGTTTTCTTGATTTCTTTTCCTCAGCCATAGTAATAACAACATCCATAACCTTTGACCAAAACTTCTCTGGCACAATATTTCATTCATTTCAGAAGTAGATTAAATTAAAGTCCACTTTGAACTCGCTCTTTTATTTTTCTGAGTCGTGTTTTTATTGAAATTTGTGCTAGAAATAGTTATTTTAGCAGTGTTTTCATGCAGATTGTTGCAGTTTATATGTGATTTCTGCAGCAGAATGACAGGAGGTCTCTCAGGGAGCTCAGGTTATACAGAAATGTTTTACCATATCAGTTAAAATAAGAATCCTTTGAGCACAACTTCTAATTATTTCAGTGTCAAAATGATCTAAACACCACTGAGACGTGTTTAAAATGTAGCTATCAGGTTTACTGTGGAGCTAACAGATGGTTTGTTCTCTGCTGTTATTATTATATTATTATTACTGAAACTTTCTGACTCTCTAAATCCACCAGAACATACTTTTTACAACATACTTAACAGGAAATGTCCATTAGAGCAGAAAACATTTTCCACATTTGTTGACAATTATTAGATTTTAAGGCATCACAATTATTTTAGTAGCATACAGAAAGTATTTCTTCTAGATGAAAAATAAAAATATATAATTCAGAGCAGCTGGTGCTAAATGTTAGACATCTAAGCGGAGATGTCAGATAAAAGGAAATCATTTGAAATCATTTTGTAATTTTTGTAGGACTTTTTTTTTAACCCTTTAAAAACAACAAGTTTCGTAAGTGCCACAGTCTCTGATTAATAAGCTGCAGGGTTTCCGTCCTGTAGATACCCACATTTGCCTGTTGGACTGTGTGGCGCTGGACCTGCAGGAGATGAGTATCTTTGCTGCAGAGCGTCTGCCCGAGTCTTCAGAGGGTGATGCTGCTAATCCCGAATCCTCCAACCTCACCTTCTCTTCCTTCTCTCTTCGTCGGACTGGAGATAACTTGTTGAAGGACTGCTGCCGCCTCCAGCTAAAAATTGAGCGCAACTTGGACAAGTATGTGCTTCCTTCTTAAAGCTTCCTCACAATGTGGTTGTTCAGTAAAGCTGCACAGCTCTATAGGAACTACCAAAGGAATCTCAGATGAGCTATCATTCATGTTTTAACTGCCTTTTTTCCTCTGTCACTGGAAAATTAACTTTAGCAGTTAATCAAACTGAAAATGTCAGCTGTTTTTTCAACATTCTCAATAATAAGTTGTTTTCCCACATTCTGAAGCTTTTGCTTTGTTGTCATACAGCTTTCCAAAGCTATGAATATGGAATGGCTCCAAATGCTCAGGTGTAAATATAAATCCAGTGGTTACCTTTGGAAGTTTTTATTGAAGTCCATTTGGGGGCTCATGAGATATTTTGCTAACATACAATCATGCACAGACAGGCAAATCCTTTAATCTTCAGTGGCAGACTTGTTATAGCCAACATGAGAGGATTTTAGTCTAAAACTGACATTAAAGGCAGCGAACCTGAATTTCCCGTAGGTAAAATAGGACATGACTGTTGTTTTTGTTTATCTTAAAAAGGTGAATAAATATAAACAACACCGATCCACGGCCTGCACAGTCATCAGTGTTTCTTGTTGGCAGGGAGCTGAGTCATGCAGTACCTGACATGTCCATCCACGGCAGACTGTCGTCAGTGCATTGCTGCCTAGAGAAGAAGCACTACCAGTTGATCCGAGGGCTTCTGGAGAACAACCTGGGAGAGCCTGTTGAAGAGTTTCTGCGACCCTATAATCTGCAGGACCCTAGCATCCATGTGAGGATCTGGCAGCCATCTTTGTTGACCTCTAGGAACATACAGTATCCTACATTTCAACGTTAAAAAACATTTGGTTTGGTGAAGAATTGCTTCTACATAATGTCTGTACATTTCCATCTGGTTTGGAAAGTAAGAAAAATATGCTTAACACTTTTAGCTGTGTATTTGAAAAGCTATAAATCGAGCTGACATAGTTATTACTATGTTTAAGCCGTTTTAAATGCGTTGTGCAATAAAATGGTTTTTAAACACAATTTTGAGAAAAAGAAAGTCGGCTTTGTTTTAGTTTTACGGTTTTACATATCAAGACCTTTTTATAGGTAATTTGGCTATTACACCTTCTAAAATTTCAAATAGACTAACAGCTTCCACCTTGTTAGGATTTATTAAATAAAAACAAAGCCAAAAATGTGTAATCACAAAAATACAGTAGTTAGTTCAGACAGTATTTGTACTATAGTAAATTTGGTTTTTGGATGAGATGATTGGTGGATCTTTTGCCCACACTTTATTCTAATGTTGCTTCAGTTTGTAGACAATGTTTCTTCACAGCTTAGTCAGACTGGTATCTGGACTGTAGCAACAATTTGTCATTTTGTTGTTGGTTTGCTGATATACTTAGTATCATTGTCTTTATTCCCAGTTTGAGCCAAACTTTACCTATTGGACTTCATCGTTAACGTCTCGCCGACTGTTAGACCAACACTGCCATAGTCATCCATGTGGGGAGGGTCTGTTTACATGTGAACGATCTCTGGAAACTTTAGGTTTTTCCAGTGTTGATCGAAGAAAAAAAAAAAAACACATTTACATGGAGATAGCTGTGCTCATTAAATCCACTGTAATATCCACGCCAGGCAGGGTTGACAAATAGGAAAGGACAATCTATTGTACAGTTTTTTTAGAATTGTTGTATTTTGACCCAAACTATGGTATGCGCTGAGTGAGGGTGCACTTTACTGGAGGGGAGAGTTGTAAGATAAGTTGTGTGTTGTGCACAGAAAAGGTGGTGTTTAACAGTAGAATTATTTACTATAAAAACTGTATCGTATGTCTGGAAAAACTGATGCCAGGTCACTCACTGGCACTATGATTTTTATCTTTGAATGAGACGCATGCAGGCAGACAGTTTAGTCTGGAGCGAGAAAACGGTTCCATTCAAAAATGGAGAAAACACAAACTTTTGTTTGGACCGAGGATGAGGTTGGTTTGCTCCTGAATGCTGAATAGGGTGAGCAGGACAAACAGCACTCTTTTATCTGTCATTGTTACTGTTCTGCTGACAGAAGTGCAGAAAAATTATTGACTGCAGTAACAAGGGCACTCGATCTATAAATCCATCCATTATTATCCATTTACCCACATCCTCCTTTCTGGGTTGTTGGTGCCCAGATCCAGCACCACCGTGTTGTAATTGATGTGGTTTAAAACACTTTTATTTGAAATTTTTAATCATTTTAGAACCTGGGAACGAGCAATCCTTTTTATTATGTCTGGACATATATTGCCTTTGAACTGAAAGGACTGATCGTAGCTTTGGTTTGCATGTGGCTCTTTTAGACTGTGTTGAGTGGAGACGTCTACACCAACCTCTCTTTCTTGGTGGATTTGACGGATGTCAGCTTGGAGCTTCTGGAATGTCCAGCAACCACTAAATGCAGGCAGTCCTTAGCAAGGTAAGAACTTTATATTCTGGTTCTAGAGTTCTTAATCTGTGTTGTTGGTCTGGACTAGATGAGCTAAAAGTTACTGTCATGCTCAAGTTGAGTTTTATTTTTCTCCTGAAGTTCATAAAGATGCAAATTTACTGTTTTCTTTTACTTGCCTTGCAAAGGTTTGACTTCATGAAATCCAAGATTCTTTTTGAAAGTTTCTCTGATGGTTCCAAGTCTGTCAATTTGGTCTCTCACTCCCTGCTGGCCTTCGACTCCCGCTGCACTGAGCCAAATATGATCGCCAAGGGGGCAAGAAAAAATGTGTTTGACTGCATTCTGCAGCCCTCCAAAACAGGCAGTAACCGTGCATCTCTGCAACTTGAGCTGCATTATAGGTAATGCTGCACTGGAGAACATTTAATCCAACAAAACATTTCTAAACACACATGGAAGTTTAACTGAAATTATGTTCTTTGCAGATCTACACGTGACTCGTCATGCTTTACAGTGGTCCTCAATAACCTGAGGGTTTTTCTCATCTTCGACTGGCTGGAGCTGGTGCGAGACTTCCTGCAGGTTCACAGGGACTCTGACAGCACCGAGTCTCAACAACATTTTCCTTCTAACACTACTTCTGAACTGGACACCACTGGGGCTGTCATGCCAAAGACAGTGAAGAGTGGAGTAGTCACTAAAAGATCCACCGTACCAGTCACCCAAGACCGCTGCCTGGAGATGAAGATCAATGTGACAGGTGGGAGAAAGAGACTGCAGCAGAACTGTGGAAGGAGCATTTCATTTCATGCTTACAACCAGGGTAGCTCTCATTATTATAAAAAAAAATGGAGTAATAAAACAAGTTAAATATAAAACTTTTACATTCAGACAACTTTAGGAAATTACAAGAGTCCTTATGGCTATGGATAAAAATGGATGTTACGATGATAGGTATACAGTATGGTAATAGTTTTGAGCTTTTTGTTTTGGTGCAAACTTTTACATAAAGTTTTCACAAAACTATAAAGTTAAAAACTACTGGATCTCGTAGAAGTGAAAGATTAACCAGAACTTGACCTTAAATTTCAAATAAATTAGTTTTTCTTGTGAATGCTGAACTGATAAGTGCATTGTGGTGATTCTTTAAAAAAATGTTTGTCTTGTTTTGGTTTCAGGCACAGAGTTTGTGGTTGTGGAGGACCTCTCCTGTCTCGACACAAATGCAATCATTCTGAAAGGCACCACAGTTCTGACATACAAGCCCCGTCTGCTGGACCGACCCTTCTCTGGCAGCCTGGCAGGAATTGAGGTGACACTGCTGCTCACATTGTAATCGTTCTTTACCTAAAAGCAGACCATATAATGTCGGCTGCGTTTCTACATGTTTGTGTGTCTGTTACCAAAAAACTTGAAAATATTAATTGAACGTACAGCTACAACAGCTTTCTCAACCTGAATAAATATATCACATTTAAAGGACTTTTTAATTAAAAAATAAATAAATAAATTGAAGGTCATATTTTTTTGTTTGTTTTTATAAAACTCCACTCGTGGAACACCTGGTCCATCCACTAATGTTCTGTTTTCAGTCAAGCCAACGACAAATCGGCTATTCTGAGTCGTGGAACGTCCAATTCTGCAGCCTGCATGCATGCATAATAGATTTTCAGTACTAAATGTTTACTTGTGCAACATGCAAGTAAGGTTTTGCTCTTATCGTCCAAACTAAAATAATTTTGTCAGATGAGATGAGAGGCAGGACTCCGCAGCGACGTCTGGCCAGGAAAGATGTATCTCTCTTGGAGTGAGTTGAAATGTTTTCAGTAGCTCTCATCTAACAAAGCAGAGCAACAGTAATATAAAAATCTGAAGTATAGAGATATAGATAAAAAGAAAAGCCTTTACTGAGAGAAATGTATTATTTTATATGATATGATGAATATAGGATTCAAAATAATTTATAATGGGATTTCTTTATGGTCGGTTGGAGGGCAGTAAAGTTACTATGAGGTTACAGGAGCATTTGAAACCATTCTGACCAAATAAAAAAAACACCATTTAGAAGGATGTTTAGGCTTTGTCGGGAACCATCCTGTTTACTGAATAGGAAAAAAATATTTTTCTCAACGAGACATTCTGAGAGTTAAACGTGCCAATAGCTAATTGAAATCATCCTTTTCTGTTTGTCAGCAATCAAAGACCACTGGGCAGATTTTATTAAAATGTTCAAGAAATAGTCTTTAAATGTGCTTTTCAAAACTACTGTAATTCACTGAAGATGGCTGCCACAGCTAATTGACCATAATAAATACAAAATTGGCAATAATTGTCTTTTGTTTTTTCACCAGAACTAGGTGTTTTATTGAAACTTTCAAAACGTTTTTAGATTATCATCTTCCTTTACTAAACTTTTGAAGCCTAATTCAAGAAGGCTACCACATCTAATCAACATTAGCCAACACAAAAGTGGCTTTAACCCAGTACTTTTGTACAGATATTAAGCTAAAATTTGATGTGGCATCTGAGTCATCCCCAACACATCCCCTGAGCACCTGAACATGACATCTTTTGGTATTTCTTGAGATGATGCATCAACTCATTTTCAAGGTTTGACCAAAATGGCTACGACTATCCTTTATCAACATAAAACTCTGGCATGAAAGACCTTAAATCTTCTCTTCTGAGAATTGCTCCCTGCTGTCTTTAGTCTTGCTCCTACTTGCTAGCACATGCAACATCATCATTATCTTTTCAGGTTTTCTCTTGTCGGCTTGGCAGTGAGCAGGAGACGGCGCTGTCCATCATAGACCCCGTCAACATACAGGTGGAGTTGTGTGGCAGCCCCACCTACCACAGCACCTCTGGGCTCCTAGATGCCTTCAATGTGCAGGACATCCCCCCCATCCTGGAGGTCAGTTCAGTGTTGCCTCACAGCAGCAGCAGATTCCAGTTGATGGTGTTTTTGATCTCCTATTACTGACATTAAGGTTATTATTGAAACCGTTGTCTTTAGTTTTTAAAGTCAGTGTTTCATTTGTTGATGTTTGTGTCAGCAAACAAATGCATGTCCTAAAGACTAAACACAGAGAAGACTTCTTGTGGAAAAAGATAATTGGCTGTTTAATTATGTCGTTCTCTGGCAGATCCAGTTTCCTGCCTTGGACATCCGTCTGTCCTACAATGACATTCAGCTGTTCCTTGCCATCGCTAAGTCTATTCCTGCATCCAAAACTTCACCTGCCTCTTCTCCTGACCGAGCTGAGGCAACAGTTTCACCCAAAAGCAGCAACAGGCAGAGGACGCACAGCCTCAGAGGTACAGAAAGGACCCCCCCCCCCCCACCACCACCACCATGCTGTATAATTTACACATATAAAGTCAGATGGATGTGTGTGTACATTTATTTGACATACATACATACATATTTGTGTGTTTTAAAGTAAAGTGCAATTTTGTTGTTTCTCTGTAAAATAAGTGAAAATAAATAATTAACTACTAAACATTTCAACGGCCCTCAAATGTGAAACAGGAGCACCAGCTAATGAGCTAATATAAAAATAAAAAGTGGAGGGATACAGGTAGAAAAAAATAACTAAAAGTAATATATTATTACACTTGTGTGTGTGTATATGTAAATGTATATATATATATATATATATATATATATGCTTGAAAGTTTGTGAATGCTTTATAATTTTCAATATTTCTGCATAAATATGATGTAAAGCATCATCAGATTTTCACAGAAATCATAAAGTTGATTTAAATAAAACCTAGTTAAACAAATGAGACAAAAATATTATACTTGGTCATTTATTTATTGAGGAATATTATCCAATATAACATATTTGAGAGTGGCAAAAGTATGTGAACCTTTGCATTCAGTATCTGGTGTGACACCCCCTTCGCCCCAGTGCAGCAATAACTGCAACTAAACATTTCTGGTAACTGTTGATCAGTCCTGCTCACCAGCTTGGAGGAATTTTAGTCCATCCTCTGTACAGAACAGTTTCAACTCTGGATGTTGGTGGTTTCCTCACATTTAACTTCTTGCTTCAGGTCCTTCCACAACATCTGGATTGGATTAAGGTCAGGACTTCGACTTGGTCATTCCAAAACATGAACTTTATTCTTCTTGAACATTCTTTGGTAGAACGACTTGTGTGTTTAAGGTCATTGTCGCTGCATGGCCCACCTTCTCTTGAGATTCAGTTCATGGACAGATGTTCTGACATTTTCCTTTATAATTCTCTGATATAATTCAGAATTCATTGTTCCATCAATGATGGTAAGCCGTCCTGACCCAGATGCATCAAAACAGGTACAAACCATGATAATACCACCACCATGTTTCACAGATGGGATAAGGTTCTTTTGCAGGAATGCAGAGTTTTCCTTTCTCCAAAAATAACTCTTTTAATTTAAACCAAAAAATTCTACTTTGGTCTCATCCATCCACAAAACTTTCTTCCAGCAGCCTTCTGGCTTGTCCACATGATCTTTAGCAAACTGCAAATGAGCAGCAATGTTCTTTTTGGAGAGCAGTGACTTCCTCCTTCAACTGTGCCATGACCACCATTGTTGTTCAGAGTTCTCCTGATGGTGGACTCATGAACATTAACATCAGTCAATGTGAGTGAGACCTTCAGTTGATTAAAAGTTACTCTGGGTTCCTTTGTAACCTCACAGACTATTCCACATCTTGCTCTTGGAGTGATCTTTGTTGGTCCACCACTCCTGGGGAGGGTAACAATGGTCTTCAATTTCCTCCATTTGTACGCAATCTGTCTGACTGTGGATCGGTGGAGTCCAAACTCTTTACAGATGGTTTTATAACATTTTCCAGCCTGATGAACATCAACAACTCTTTTTCTTAGGTCCTCAGAAATCTCCTTCGTTCCTGCCATGATCCACTTCCACAAATATGTGAAGAGCAGACTTTGATAGATCCTGTTCTTTAAATCAAACAGGGTGTTCACTCACACCTGATCATCATCCCATTGACTGAAAACACCTGACTCTAATTTCACCTTCAAATTAACTGATAATCCTAGAGGTTCACATTAATATCGGATCATTTTCCTCAATAAATAAATGACTAAGTATAATATTTTTATCTCATTTGTTTAACTGTGTTCTCTTTATCTACTTTTAGGACTTGTGTGAAAATCTGATTATGTTTTAGGTCATATTTATGCAGAAATATAGAAAATTATAAAGAGTTCACAAATTTTCAAGCACCACTGTAAATGTAAAATTTCGTCACAGCCGTTTCATCTCAGATTATATTTCTTAGACTATGTATTTAATATATTGGATGAATAAATGACAACATATTTAATTAAAACTGGATAAGTGGAATTACCTTTCAGGCTCTACAGTTGGCCAGGGGTTTTTATTTGCCCATGTGTGTTTAATATTTTATCTTAACTGAATGGATGTGATGACATTTTGCAGAATCCAAGCTCAGCCATTTACAAGACCTTGGTTTTACAAAGGAGGACTGCAGAAGAGCTCTGGTCCACTGTAAAGGTGAAGAAGTTTCATCACATGCATATGAACTTGAACCTGGATCTGACGTGACCTCTCACTTGTGTTTTGTAGGTCATCTGGACCAGGCTGCCACGTGGCTTCTGGAGAATGCAGAAAATCTGATGGAGAACTCCCGAGTGAAGGCAGGCTCCAGCTCCTGCAGTCACTCTGCTCCTTTGTCAGGTGTGGAGGTGAAGGCTGACAGCATCTGTATTTGTTTCATCGATGACTGCCTGGACTGTGACATCCCTCTAGCTGAACTCACTTTCTCCAGTAAGTCTCACTAATGTACATGCTCATACATCCATTCTGATCCTTTTACCTGCTTCTCCTTCACTGGCCACAGAGACACTGGTGCCTGTTTTCAGCCGTCACTGTACCAGAGGTGGGGGATACCCTAAAAAATAAGTGAAGTACTGACTTCCATTTTGGTGTGGCTTTTTTTTTTTTTTTGCGTAGTAAAGGTTCCTTTACAAAATTGCGTTGCCACGTCAAAATCTAAGATGGCCACCACCATATATGCTTGTAAGCTTACCGCCCCTATTATTTGAAGAAACTATGCTTTCTAGTTTATATTGTCTAAAAGTATAGTTTGCTCAAATGATTAGGGTGGCCGATGGATAATCTATGGTGGTCAAGGCCACCGTTGGCCCTCCATGGCTCCACCATTGCATCTGGTGGTGGATAAAATTGTTTCCTCCACTCTTCAGCATCTATTACTCTCTGACAAAAAACAAAACACCTCCCTCTGTTCTTCTCCACAGTGTAACTTCTACCAGCTTGAATATCTTGCACTTAAAGGTTTACTTGCATTATCCTGATGTATGCTCAATAATCCAGGTAGAAAAATCCAAAAAAGTTAAATCTGGTCCTCTGGACATTCAAAAAAACAAAACAAAGCAAAAAAAAATATAGAAACGTTTCGTCTCTCATCCGAGAGACTTCCTCAGTCTGAGGTGCTGTATTCAGCTCAGTCTCTTAAATAGCACCTTCTCAGAGTGGATCAACCAGTTTGCTGCTGACAACCAAAACCAACTGCTCACATGGTCAAGAAGGACCATCAGCCTAACAATGGATCATTAGCACACTGATGGCTGTTTACTATTCACAGGGGGCTGAGTGATACTAGCAATCACAGCATTGTAAGAGGGGGACAATTGAACCCAGAGGCCTCCATCCCTGTTTTATGATGGGCGATTTCTTTTCACAAAGATGGCTTCCTTTACTCCTCTCTCAAACCATCGCCGGGGCGGGACCTTCGCGCAAAGGCTCGCGGCGAACTCAGTGGTCGGACGGCATGGATCCGTCGCGGCCGCAAGGGCACGTCCCGTGGGGCCGACGCGTCGCCCGCACGGCTGGCTCCCTTAGTTAGTGGGGATGCTGTCTCAGGAGCCAGGCAGAAGGAGAAATCCTACACGAGACAAGCGCTAGAGCAATGTTGATATCCTAACTGGGCCTTCCTGAAAGCAGAGAAGAAACCCAAACAGGACTCCAGTCAGCCATCAGGTGAAAAGGAGGAACCCAGACCAGTGGTCATTCCATATGTTGAGGGAGTATCAGAGAAACTGAGACGTTTATTTTCTAAACATAACGTCCCAGTGGCTTTTAAACCCCAAAATACATTACGGCAAAGACTGGTTCATCCCAAAGATCCAGTCCCCCGGCACAAACAGAGTAATGTTGTGTATGCTGTTCAGTGTCAGGAGGGCTGTGATCAGTCTTACATCGGGGAAACTAAACAGCCACTGGCCAAAAGGATGGACCGGCACAGAAGATCAACATCATCAGACCAGGATTCTGTGGTCTACACTCATCTCCAGGCCAGCGGTCACTCTTTCAGGGATGAAGATGTTCACATCCTGGACAGAGAGGAACGATGGTTTGAGAGAGGAGTAAAGGAGGCCATCTTTGTGAAAATAAATCGTCCATCATTAAACAGGGGTGGAGGCCTCCGGGTTCAACTGTCCCCCTCTTACAATGCTGTGATTGCTAGTATCACTCAGCCCTCTGTGAGTAGTAAACAGCCATCAGTGTGCTAATGACCCATTGTTAGGCTGATGGTCCTTCTTGAGCATGTGATCAGCTGGTTTTGGTTGTCAGCAGCAAAACTGGTTGATCCACTCTGAGAAGGTGCTATTTAAGAGACTGAGCTGAATACAGCACCTCGGACTGAGGAAGTCTCTTGGATGAGAGATGAAACGTTTCTACATGTTTTTGTTGTTTTACTTTGTTTTGTTTTTTGTTTTTTGAATGTCCAGAGGACCAGATTGAACTTTTTTGGAGTTTACTTGCATTCCCTGTTCAATTCCAGTCCAGAAAAACACTCTCCTCCAAAACTACAAACATTCGCTATTTAAATCCTTCCGAGATGGGCGATGTTGGCATATCACTTGTTTTGTTACAATCTTAAAATAAAATTTCTTTTCAGGGCTTTTTGTGCTGCAGCGTATTGGTTCTGTCCAGGAAGGTAAATCCAACTTCACTCTGTCTGGGGACTACTACAACAGACAGCTGTCAGGTAAATATTACCAGTTACCTGGCAAGAAGTACCTGGATAAATCAGGACATACCCACATAGCTCACTGAAATTATTAATTTCTCTCCAAAAGCAGCTTCATGTACCTCTGACCAAAGCTGACAGTATTATTAAATGTCAGTTTAAAAAAACTATTCTCCCAGGCTTCATTTTTTTATTGTGGAAGGCTACTTTTGGAGAAAAATATTCTCACTTGCATTGTTCACTCAAAAAGAATCACACTTGATGGCAGGAGAATATTTTTAACCAGTATTTTATTTGTGAGGTCAGATTTTCAGGACAGGTTACATAAATATACATAAAGTACACACATGAAGACCAGTCAGGAAAATCTGCCTTGAGCTGCCGCCACAGCTTGCTTTTATACCTTTATCAGTTCAGCTGAGTTCACAGAGCGCAGGAGGTGCCCATGGCTGTGGCTGCATACTACATGCTGCTTCCAGCTCCTTGCCCAACTCTTTCTTCTAACCCAAACATATGGTTCATGGGCAGAGATAAGATTCTCAACCATAGTAACAGAAACATCCATAACCTTTGCCCAAAAATTCTCTTCACAGTTTCCAATCCATATTATTATTATTATTATTAACCTTTATTTAACCAGGCAAATCCCATAGAGATCACAGATCTCTTTTGCAAGGGAGGCCTGGGTATGAAGGCATCCTAACATGTATGTTTTTGATCTGTGGGAGAAAACTGTAGTACCCAGAGAACACCCGCGCAAGCACGAGAAAAACATGCAAACTCCACACAGAAAGACCCCATGTCCAACCAGGGATTGAATCCAGGACCTTCTTGCTGTGAGGCAACAGTGCTAACCACTGAGCCGTTGTGCTGCCAAATATGTGATGTTCACTTGTATTATGATATTAAAGGGAGAGTTTCGACAGCTTTCAAATAATGTTCTGTCCAATAGTCATTAGTTGTCACAACCTTAGCTATGAACCAGCTAGAGAACACGGAGTACGGAGATAAAAAGCAAATGTCTTCATCCAGGCTAAATACAGTGAATCATCTTCCTCTGTTTCTGTCCTCTGTGTCCTCTGTCCTCACTCCAACCACCTCCATGTCCTCGTAACTGTATCCGTATACTGGTATCTCCTCTTTGTCTTTTTCCTGGCAGCTGCATTTTTAACATCCTTCTACCAATATACCCACTGTCCCTCCTCTGGACTTGTCCAAACCATCTCAGTCTGGCCTCTCTAACTTTATCTCCCAGTTGTTCAACTTGTGCTGTACCCCCATCTATCCATCCATCCAGTTGTCTGTTCGTTCGTTCTGGAGTCAGGTCTCAGGGGCAGCAGCTTAAGCACGGAGGTCCAGACATCTCTTTCCACAGCCACCTCTTCCAGCTCTTCTGTTAGGACTCAAAGGCATTGCCAGGCCAACTGAGAGACATATTCTCTCCAGCATTTTTTGGGTCTTCCCGAGGGGGTCTCCTTCCAGTCATACATGCCCGAAGTACCTCCCAGGCGAGGCACACTGAGGTACGCTTACCATAGGTCAGGGTAGGAACGTAGATGGAGAGCGTAACATAAGTGGAGAGCTTTGCCTTACAGCTTCACCGCAATGGACAGACACAGAGTCCACAATAATGTAGATGCTGCACCAATACGTCTGTTGATCTAGCACTTAATTTTTCCCTCACTCTGAGCAACACCCTGAGATACTTGAGGCAGAACCTCACCCCAAACCTGGAGAGAACAGTCCACCTCTGAGCACCATGGCCTCAGATTTAATGATGCTGATCCTCATCCCAGTTGCTCACACTTGGCTGTGAACTGTTCCAGTGAGAGCTGAAGATCATCAACAGGACCACAATCTCTGCAAATAGTAGATACAAAATCCTGCAAAAGAGTAGAAGTATAATATTTGATAATAGTGTTCATTCACACATTTTTTGAGAAAGAGTTGGCCTGAAAACAACAAAATCAGACAGTTGTTTTGCTAGCCTTTAGCCTAATCTGAATGGAGACTTTTGCTTCCTTCTCTATCCTCAGCACTACATGACTGATGTCATGGTTAACTAACAGATAAATAAACAAAAATGTGTGTCAATCCAGCACTTTCACCAGTTTGTTTCTGTGTCAGGCTGGGAGCCTTTCATTGAACCGTGGACCTGCTTCCTGTCATGGCAGCAACAGGCTGCTAGTCGCCTTCACCCTCCACGCTTTAAGATGGACATTCGAGCCAAACAGAGGCTGGACATCAACATCACTTCTGTCCTGCTTGGTAAGTTAGTCAGAAACTTGCTTCTCTTTGCACAAAGTGACTGAGAGGAGCACATTATGACACAAAGTTTTTATTCCTGGTCCTTCTAGACCAAGTCAACACCACCAAGAGCTCCTGGATAGCCGATTACTGCAAGGAGGACAAACAGATTCAAAGGTCGCCTACCCTGTCTTGGATCGGCTCATCTGTTGACCCCCCCAGCTTTGGGCAGAGTAAGTTTCGGTCACTCACTGGACCAAATCAATGTGTTCTAATCTAACAAAAACTGACATTTATTTCAGATATAAACTTATATATTTGCAAATGTAACCAAAGAACGAGATAGCTATTTTAAGTACCGGTAGTTAAACACAGCATGTTTATTTTCAGGGTCATTTAATTATCATCACGTTCTGGTTCTAAACTAGATAACTAGATACCTTTTTTAAAGCAGACTATAAGTTATTAATGCTGGAGAAAAATATTCTCTCAAGTTGCTTGCTCAAAAATAATTACACTCAATGGCAGGAGAAGATTTTTAACCAGCATTTTACTTGCAAGGACTCATTCAAGACAGGTCACATACATCGATACATATTGCAGGGAACGTGTCACAGAATGAAACTCAAATAGAGTTTGCTGTAGACTTTTCTACAGCAACAGAGCCCAGCATGTGCTCCCTCATTGCAAGCTGCAGTCAGACACTTAGACGATGACCACTTAGACCATGGCTGTTGACGAGTCAGCCACCAGATGGAGATAAGAGAATATTTTGGGCATGTTCTCATGTCCACAATGCCAGTGAAGCACTGCGGGTTGGCGAGCCGGTCTTCAGGCTAAAATAAAAGAATGTTTTGGGCTTGTATTACAGAAGCAGGAGAGAAAGACGTTCTCAGCCATAATATAATAAAAAATATTCATACCAACAATTTTCTAACAAGTAATAAATTTACTTGTGTAACTTGTGTATTTTAATTATTCAAACATGGTGCATGATCCACATTTATTTGTTAATATTACCTTTTCTTTCCATTACCGACAATGTTGCACCTACACATAGTTTTTCTTTACAGGCAGTGCTTTCTTTTTAACACGCGCACACACACAAACACACATGCACGCACGCACACACACACACAGGTTTGTCTTGCTATCTTTACGTGGGCTTTGACTTCATTAATTTTTCATTCATTTCTATAGACTAATCCTGACCCTTACCCTAAACTTAACCCTGTCCAAGCTTATTCGACATAAACCTTACCTGTGGCGAAGTTTGAAGGCATCTAATATTACATTTTATTGGCATTTCTTTCCGCTCAATTCTCAATGTGAGTAGCGAGGGACTGCGGTAGCTTGGTGGTCGGTGCCATGGTCTTGTTCGAGCCCACTTTGTGTCAGGAAGGACATCCAGCGTAAAACAATTGCCAAATCTTTCATGCGAGTTCATTCACTGTGGCAATCCTTGAAGAAGAGAGCAGCCAAATTAACTTTTTCAACATCAGTAGCAACATTCATACTCTCCACTTCAGCAATTACATTAACCTGTTTCCCTAAAGCACACACTTCATTTGGCCATTTGTCATTTTAGTTTTCTGCTGCTAATGATTGGGACCCTTTACAGGAAACTTAAACTTATTTTATCCCATTTGCTTCTTTAAAAGCTCAGTGAGAGCATCACTTCATGATTGTTGCACATGCTTTTAACAATCTCCCCTTCAATTTATGTTGTTACTTTCCTGCACTATGAACCTGTCCGTGATTGTTGATTCCCACTGTCTTTACAATTTAATATTTGGTTGTCGATTGTTTATATGTTGTCCTTCTGCTGTTCTACCACTTCTGTATTTGCTTATCTTGCTTTTGTATTTGTTCTCAACTGACTAACCTGATTAAATAAAAGGTCAAATAAATAAAACTAGATTATTCTGATTTTTATTTTTTATTTTTTAACCCTATCTAAAATTTGTGGGTTTCACCTCTTGCAGTGCTCTATAAACTTTAACTCACATAAATTTTAAGGGTATACTATTATGTTTACGGTACATTGTTTTATGAGGAATAGATTCCCTCTTTTCATTTTTCTTAGCTTACAGCTTTTTGTTTGGTGTCATTACTGGTGTTTAGCAGTACCGGTATTTTTTTTTACTGCAGAACTGCAGCAGCACTGGTATACACAGCAACAAACACTGAAAGTGTTCTTCATTTGATCATGTGGATTCACTAATGCTCCGAGAAATAAAGTTGTCTAAATAAACAAAGTCATGCCCTCTGGATGGATTCTTCTTGTTGAAACGTTTCGTCTTTTATCCAAAGACTTCTTCTGGCTGAGGAGCTGCAGCAAACTCAGTCTATAAACAGCATCTTCTCATAGTGGATCAACCAGTTTGATAGTGACAGCCAAAACTAGCTGTCAGGCTAGGCTAGGTTAGACAAGGGACTAGGCTATCACAGAACACAGAGGTGTCTCCCCCGCCTTCTTCCACCCAGTCGACAAAAAACCCAGAAGAGATGAGTGCCCTGCCAAGGCAAGTGACCTCGGAGAAACGCTGCATTCGGGGTGGTGAGTTGTTGTAGGTAACCAGGAAAACTTGGAGTGGACTTTTACTGGTTTGAGTACAGTAGTCCCTTGCTATTTTTTGGTTCGTTTTTTGTGGACTTGCTCTATCGCGGTTTTTCAAAGTAAGATTGGACATGACACATTGGCTGATTGATAGACGAACCTCATGATCGTCAAGGAATTTTTATTTAAAATAATTTAGTATCTGCTGCACCTGTGTGCATCCCACAGCTGCAGGAGAAACTTCCTCCTGCAACATGCCAGATCCCCGCTGGTTCTTATCACCAGCAAACTGGTTGGCCCACTAAAGGTGTGTACTGCTTAGTGGTGAAAACAAATTACTTGGGACTCCTCAGACTGATGAAGCCCTCCAGATAGAGGGCGAAATGTCTTTCCACAACAAAGAAACTATCCAGATGACCTGACTGACCATTACTGGATTTTGTACTTGGACGATTGAGCATGAACTTTGATGATCTGGATACAGTATTAGTTTACGCCAAGTCTGAAGGCTGAGGGTAGGTCAAGTTTCAAAAACACTGGGACGTTTGCTGTTGGATTTGAGACCTGAAGCTCCATATGAGCTGCTTCTTCAGAGTCTGGCAGCAGTTTAAATGGGCCAGGTGTTTGCTGTAACTGAAAACCTGGAAAATTACCAGCAAAGATTCTATGAAAGTATTTTAAAGGATCTCTCTCTGACACTTCTATTTCTTCCTCTTGTTCTCAGAAGATGTCAAGCTCTTAAAGAGGAGACAGCCATTTGTGCCGTATGCGCTCCGCAACAATACAGGCTGTACCATGAGGTTTGCTGTAATGACGACTACTCCTACCAGGTAGGTCTAACCACAGCCTGCCTCTTTTAAACAAAGAAACATACTATGCAAATAAGACTATGCTTTCTAGTTTTTGTATTGCTTAAAAGTATTGTTTCCTCAAATGATTAGGGTGGCACTTGAGGTGGCCAAAGGTTAATCCATGTGGGCCAAGGCCACCGTTAGTGGCCATCCCCTTACTCCACCATTTGCACCTGAGGGTGGATGCAATTGTTCCCTCTGTACACCAGGATATGTCATTCTGCGCCGACTCAAAGAAAAACATATATATATATATAAAAAACCACTATTGTTTGTTCTATACAGTGTAACTCCTACCAACTTGAATATCTTGCACCAAAAACATTAAGGCTTACTTGCATTCCCTGTTCAATTCCAGTCCAGAAAACACTCATCTTCAGACATTCTCAAATCCTTCAGCAACGGGGGGACATTGGCGTACTGCTTGTCTTTATTGGGACTGCTGTAGTTCAGTTGTCAGTGTCTTGTCTCTTGTTATCCTAGATCCCAGGTTGCGTCAGGAAAGATGTCCCTCGTAAAACAGGTCTCTCTTGTAAATGAGTCCTTGAGGCTCAATGAGACTAACCTGTGTAAATAAACGTTGAATGAAAAAACCCACATCAAATCTTCCATTCGAGTTTGCTTACTGAAGAGCAACAATAAGAAAACAATATATTTGATGTTGTGTAATGATCTTAAATGAGGGCTTAATTATTTTTCACATCACTGTCAGCCAAAGTGTAGGAACTTCATTAAGGTTCGTTCTGTTTGGAAGCTGGCTGCATGTTGCTCTTGGAGAATAAACAGTTCTTTGTTGCCACAGAGTGGCCCTGTCCCACAGCAGCAGTGCAGACTCCATCTCGGACATCCACACTTCAGGAGCCGATGATACACATAATGTCAGTCAGTGGAAAGAAGTCCTACCTGGAGAAGAGGTTCCTTTTGAGTTTGAGGCCCGAGAGAAACTTCGACACAGGTACAGCTTGAACTTACACACACAGCACCTGGTTGTTTATTCTGTCTGTCAGTCTGTTCACAACTTTCAGCTTTTCCTCAAGAAAAACAATGCAATGCTCCAGGTCAAGTCCTGCATAAGTAATACAGTAATTCAATTCAGTTTATTTATATAGCACCAATTCACAACAGAAGTCGTCTCAGGGCACTGAACAGAAACATTCATATATAAAAATAATAAGTTAACCCTATTTATCTTAATAGAATAGAATATCAGGAAATAATAATACATATGCATATCCCATCCATCCATCCATTCATCATTCCATCCATTTGTCCATCCATACATACACACTTTCATAACAACTTTTGTCATATAAAATATAAAAGCAAAGGATAATTTCTGAAGATGACTTTTAGAAAACTTGAATTCAAATGTAGATTAGGATCCATCATCAGTTTTAGTTACTGGGTTACTACATGGTGTCTTTAGAAACAACACAAGTTTTGATCACTGAATTTACCAGGTCTGTTATTTTTGCATTCACATATATATGCGGCTCAGAAGGAAGACTTCTTCCTCCCACGTCAGCAGTCTGCTTCGGCTAGGAAACAAGCAAAAGACAACTCTGAACTATATAAAGGCTAACAGATTTACATTGTACTTTTAAGAAAATCACTGGTAATAGAGAAACTAAAGAGTTTTTTTTTCCCATCATTTGCCTTTAAATGGCTTTAATGACCATCAAATCTTATGTATGCTATAGTGTATTTTAAATCTATTTGAATTGCTTCTTGGTGATTAAAAATAAAACACGTTTGAATGATCTGTTATTAGTGTGCATAATAGTTTAATACTTGCAAAGAAATGAACAAAAGACACAATTGCATTAGTTTTTTTGACAGCTACATACAGAGTTAAAACTCCTACAGCCATATTGATGTACGAGAGTGAAAAAACTCAGAGGACTGTTTTGGGTGTCATCAAACTTCTGACGGGTGATGTTTTACGTTTGAGGGATTTCTTCTATCTGCTTCCTCTTCTGCAGACACACTCATGAGCTCAAGCTCCACCAGCTGCTGGTTCAGGTGTGTGGATGGGAGCAGGTCAAGGCGGTGTCAGTGGACAAAGTGGGCATTTTCTTTCGCTACGCGGCTCCAGACAGAAACAACTCTTCTAGCACTGTGAGGACACATTTTAAAAACCTGCTGAATGGTTTATTGTTAAGAATATTGAGGATTTATCAATGAAAAACAAACATTTTTATCCCTCACAGGTTGGCAGCCCTATTAGCAGGACCAACATAATCCACCCTCATGTTTATGTAAGTTTGCCAAGATCTCAGGCTATGTTCACACTGCAGGCAAATACAGCCCAAACCTGATTTTTGTTTTTGGCCATATTGACAATATTGTATACCTTGTTCCTCGTCGTGCAATGAAGAGGGTTAAATGGAAATACCCTCCATCCACCTGTCCATTTGTGCATGTTGTGAGCATGATGACTTGGAAAAGTAAATGAGCTACTCACTTCCCATTTGGTGCTGCTACAGCTAGGTGTAAAAAAAGTTACGATCAAAAATTGGGTTGCTGCATTAAAGTCTTAAGAAGGCTACCACCATTTCTGTGTGTGTGTGTGTGTGTGTGTGTGTGTGTGTGTGTGTGTGTGTGTGTGTGTGTGTGTGTGTTTGTGTGTGTGTGTGTGTGTGTGTGTGTGTGTGTGTGTGTGTGTGCGTGTGTGTGTGTATACACACACACAAACCAGATTCCAAAAAAGTTGGGACACTAAACAAATTGTGTATAAAAACTGAATGCAATGATGTGGAGGTGCCAACATCTAATATTTTATTCAGAATAGAACACAAATCACAGATCAAAAGTTTAAACTGAGAGAATGTATCATTTTAAGGGAAAAATCTGTTGTTTCCAAATTTCATGGCGTCAACAAATCCCAAAAAAGTTAAGACAAGTCCATTTTTACCACGGTGTGGCATCCCCCCTTCTTCTTACAACACTCAACAGACGTCTGGGGACAGAGGAGACCAGTTTCTCAAGTTTAGAAATAGGAATGCTCTCCCATTCATGTCTAATACAGGCCTCTAACTGTTCAATCATCTTGGGCCTTCTTTGTCGCACCTTCCTCTTTATGATGCGCCAAATGTTCTCTATAGGTGAAAGATCTGGACTGCAGGCTGGCCATTTCAGTACCCGGATCCTTCTCCTACGTAGCCATGATGTTGTGATTGCTGCAGAATGTGGTCTGGCATTATTGTGTTGAAAAATGCAGGGTCTTCCCTGAAAGAAATGATGTCTAGATGGAGCATATGTTGTTCTAGAACCTGAACATAGTTCTCTGCATTAATGGTGCCTTTCCAGACATGCAAGCTGCCCATGCCACAAGCGCTCATGCAACCCCATACCATCAGTAATGCAGGCTTCTGAACGGAGCGTTGATAACAACTTGGGCTATCCTTGTCCTCTCTGGTCCGGATGACATGGTGTCCCAGTGTTCCATAAAGAACTTCAAATCGTGACTCATCTGACCACAGAACAGTCTTCCATTTTGCCACACTCCATTTTAAATGACCCCTGGCCCAGTACAAACGTCTGAGCTTGTGGAGCTTGCTTAGAAATGGCTTCCTCTTTGCACTGTAGAGTTTCAGCTGGCAACGGCAGATGGCACGGTGGATTGTGTTCACTGACAATGCTTTCTGGAAGTATTCCTGAGCCCATTCAGTTATTTCCTTGACAGTGGCATTCCTGTTTGAGGTGCAGTGACGTTTAAGGGCCCGGAGATCACGAGCATCCAGTAGTTTTACGGCCTTGACCCTTACGCACAGCGATTGTTCCAGATTCTCTGAATATTTTGATGATGTTATGCACGGTTGATGATGATAACTTAAAAGTCTTTGCTATTTTACGCTGGGTAACACCATTCTGGTATTGCTGCACTATCTTTCTGCGCAACAATGGTGGAATTGGTGATCCTCTTACCATCTTGGCTTCTGAGAGACACTGACACTCTGAGAAGCTCTTTTTATACCCAATCATGTTGTCAATTGACCTAATTAGTGTTAATTGGTCTTCCAGCTGTTCGTTATATGCTCAATTTCCTTTTTCCAGACACTTATTGCTACTTGTCCCAGCTTTTTTGGGATTTGTTGACACTGTGAAATTTTGAATCAACATATTTTTCCTTTAAAATGTTACATTTACTCAGATTAAACTTTTGATCTGTCATCTATGTTATATTACGAATAAAATATTGACATTTGCCATCTCCACATCATTGCATTCAGTTTT